GGCCCGGGCGTGGCTCCAGGGGCCGAGCCGAGGGGCAGGAGCCAGGCGAGGCGGCAGCCTCAGCTGACCAGCCGGCCCTGACGGCTGTGGTGCAGACATCCCTCGTGGGTTCCCCAACCCCAAGCTCGGGCCATGGGGGGCTGGAGCAGCCTGTGCCTTGGGCTGCAGCCAGGACCCGGGTGCTGGGGGCTGGGGTGCACCCCTGGGGGTTCAGAGCACCCCCCCCAGTCAGAACAGCGGCAGGTCTGCGGCCCCAGGCCTGGGGAAGGCTGCTGCGGCCCAGCAAGGTTCTTCAGGGAGCCCCTGAGCGGCGCCGAGGCCCCGGGGCGCCAGAGGGTGGCGGGTGGGGTGATGCAGGCCTTGCCCCTTGGTGCTCCGGGACGTCTGTGCCCTGGGGAGCCCGTGGGGTCAGCAGGATGACAGCGGCTCATCCGGTCACTGGCTGCCCGCAAGCCCCGGCCAGTCGCTCTGTCCCCAGCTCAGAGACTCGGCCCAGGCTGAAGGGCGCGGCCATGTGAGGGGCTCAGGCCGCCCCTGGCCCCCTGGGCTGGCAGCAGGACAGCGCCCCCTGCACCCCGGCCACTGGGCACCGCCCGAGGTGGGGCCAGGCCCTCCCTGGCCCCTCTGCACTTGGGAGCCAGCCCCCCTGGCCCTGCAGACCGCACCCCGCGTGCAACCTTGCTCATGGATGGGGACTCACAGCTGCCCAGAGGCGGGGCCCTCCCCCCCCCAACTCCCGGGAGGCTGCGGGATCTGCCCAGGCTCCAGCTCAGAGTAGACCTGGCCCTGGGGCGACCCCACCTGCAACCCCCTGCAGACACGGCACCCCCCCGCGGGCTCCACACCTGCTCCCCACCTGCCTAGCGCACCCCACAGCCCTGGCCCAAGCCCGTGACAACCACACCTGCAAAATGGCCGCCGCAGGTGCGCTCCAGCCCGGACCCCGCAACTGCGGCTCAGACTGAGGGGGTGCGGGAAGCCCGCGGAGGCTGAGCCCAGGGGCAGAGGGCGGGGGCTGCCCAGGGGCGCCTGGTTGGGCGGTTGGACCTGCGGCCCTTGGGGCAGGCCCCCCGCCCTCCCGCGGC